AGGACTTATTGTGTGTCCCACGCGACCGTCGTCTTCGGACTCGCCTCCTCGGCGAGTATCATGATTCACGACTCGCCGGCCATTTCGGAGTCAACCGCACTATTGCACGGCTTCGACAACGATTCCGATGGCCCGACCTCATTACCGATGTCACTCGGTATTGCGACTCGTGCGAAGTTTGCCGACGCATCAAACCCCGCAACCGCAATCCTTATGGCGAGTTACACCCGATGCCTATCCCACGGGAACCCGGTCTCTCCATTGCATGGACGTCACCGGTCCGTTTCCTCGCGACCGGCTCGGGCACGACGGCATCCTCACGGTTGTGGACCGATTGAGTAAGTACGCGCGTTTTCTCCCTTGCAAGTACTACTCCACGRCTCCCGAGCTGGCACGCCTCCTGCACACTGGTTGGATTTGTGGCCACGGTGTACCAGAAGACATTGTCAGCGACCGGGACACTCGTTTCATGTCGGTATTTTGGACTGCTCTCATGCAGGAGTCCGGCACAACAATGAAACCAAGTTCAGCTTGGCATCCTCAGACAGACGGGCAGACGGAGCGGGCACATCAAACCGCTCAAATGATGCTTCGTACGCTCATCCGTCCGGACCAGAAAGATTGGGTTGACCGCCTCCCCGACATCGAGTTCGCCTACAACACTTCRGTGCAYYCGGCGATCGGCGTGACTCCATTCGAGTTGCACCACGGTGGACGGAAAGGACGTATCTTCGCCGACCTTCTCCTCCCTCGACCAGCCGACATTGACGCTGCCTGCTCCCCCGCTTCCGTCCGGAAGTACAGGGAATTGCTGACTCAAGCCCGCGCAAATATGCAAAAGGCTCAAGTCCACATGCAGCAGCAAGCCAACAGGCGTTGCGTACCATGTCCCATCCGCGCCGGTGATCTGGTTTGGGTCTCCGCGGAAGAGTTTGCATTGGAACAGGATGTTTCACGCAAACTGCTTCCCAAGTGGTTTGGACCTTGGTCTATGACAGCAGCCGCGGGCAATGAGCCCGATGGCCCTTCATTTGTGATCAACATTCCAGAGCATCTGACGGTCCATCCGGTCTTCCACGCCTCGAAGCTGGCAACATACACGCCAGCCAAGAGCGACGACTTTCCGGGCCGACGATTGCAGGACCCTCCCTCTATGGATGGTCATCAGGAAGTTGACTGCGTCATCTCCGATCGCAAGTACGGCAGCAAGCCGCGGCAGTACAAAGTCACATTCAAAGCATGCGATCGCGATGACACTCGGTGGATTTCAGGCGCAGATTTGAAAGCATCCGCACCGCTGATCTACGAGCATTATGAAAAGCGGAGGTTAGCTCAGGAAGTTTCACGACCAGCCCCTCCCACCCGGACTGTGGTCCCTCCCTCAGACAGACAGCTTCGCCCCCGCAGGTAAGCTCGGTTCTTCAAGGA